GAGCCGACTCAGAGGGCCCCTCACTGTCGGAGTCTGGTGGCAGCTCCAACGGCACCTGCTGGGCCACAACAGATTACTAAATTACATACAGACTGTAATGTAGCATTTTGCAATGCATGCATTGCTCAAGAAAATCAGGGCAATTTTCCAGGATTTTGTACTTTTTCACTTGGAACCTTGCAGATTGTTCTCTGTTGTCTCTTGGTATGTATGCAGGGACAGCTTGAGAACACAAGCAGATATTTTATGATATTCAAGATCTTAAAGAGATTCAAAGTCAAACCAAATAGTTAGCAATAACCATATTTAAGTGTACTGTATTAACTATGACCGAACTTGATATAGAGGTTTTCAGATCAACAATCAAATAACAATAACACAGATAGTTATGCCATCAAAGTGAAATCCTAAACAAAAACCACAAATTGCTAGATCCCAAATTTTATCTTATATCCAAAAAAAAAAAAGAATGCCAGTTGAATTAAATATAGTTATTAATATACATTAATAGGTAGTTAATGTCAGTGAATGCTCAAAGTGTATAAAACTCCAATACTAATCAAGCAAAGCAGGAACAAAATAATTGTTAATTATGCTGTTTGCTTTCTGTGGCCTTTGACACAGAAGTAAGGGGGAAAGTATATGAAAGTTATCCCATAGAACTTACTAGCTAAAGAAAATCCTTTTCAATGCAATGAAAATAAGAGTCATTATTCATTTAATATGCAATTTACTTTTGTCAATTAACTGTTCCCCCCCCCCCCCCCATATTTGTCTAATTTACATTGCATTTCGGCTGCATTCTGATGATAAACGCCTCATCTCTTCCATTGTTGTTTATTCGAGTTTCATTTGCTTTTGTTGCATGCTTATTAAGATAATAAAAAAAGAGGAAAGGTGGAGGTTAGCAGTTTCAGCAACTTCCTTGTGCTACCTTTATTTGAGGAACCTAATAATCCTCATCAACTAATTCCGACTTATGAACAGCCCTGCTTCACTAAATCAGGACTGTTTCCTCAAGTGAATAACAGACAAGAGTGCCAGTCCCTTAATTAAAGGGAGCCTCTCTTCATCTTGATCTTGTTTTAATTTACAGGGTACCACTACAATAATATCACTAATGGAAGGTACATTAAAGGGCATCAAGTAGCATTAACTGTATTAAATTATAGCACTTGTGTTAATTAACTTCTGGAGTAAGATGGTCGTAATGGCTAAAAAGGTCCACTAATGTATAAATAAAATCTGGCTGGGTGAGAATAGGAATGGAGGCAAGGGAAGGCTTCTTTTCATTATAAATCACAGATTGGAACTTTTTTTAAAAAAATAAAAAATAAAGCTTAGCAATGCAGATAAACATTCCATTATCTGTATTTTGCAGTCCTTGGATATGCTGCATCAGTTTAAGAGTTTACTTAAAATGCTTGGATGGAAAACATTTATAAAGAATGTGCAAAAGGTTTTTTACATGAAAAGAGCTACATACTGACCCAGATATTCCTATGACATACATAGTGATCAGGTTAGAGGTAACATTAAACTGTTGCTTAGCAATAGCACTTACACTTATGTAGCAATAACAATAGCAATAGCAATTAGACTTATATACCGCTTCATAGGGCTTTCAGCCCTCTCTAAGCGGTTTACAGAGTCAGCATATCGCCCCCACAGTCTNCCATCCATCCATCCATCCATCCATCTATCTATCTATCTATCTATCTATCTATCTATCTATCTATCTATCTATCTATCTATCTATCTATCTATCTGTCTGTAAAAGGTTGTATACATTTCAAACCACAATAGTTCAATAATTCCATTTAGAAAGGGAAGGGAAAAGGGAACAAAAGAGAAAGTTAATACGATCGGAAGAAAAACGCACATCCACTTCTTTATGTTCTCTTACCTTCCAACTACTTTTATATCGGAGATTGCATAAAAGTAGCGTGTCATGTGCTGTGGATCCACGTATAATTCCCCAGTTGCTGGCCTGAGCAGTCTTATCCTCAAGTCTGTGATAGTAAAGAAATCTCTGAGGTTCTTGGTGGTGTCGAGCTGCCCATAGAGAGAAGCCATATTATGAAGCCGAGGCCCAGCAAAGAATGCAAATCTATCCTTAATCTCAAAGTGGAGGATCTTACTGTTGGCCATGTACCCCGTGGAATATTCTTCTGTGCAAATGATTTCTAGGACTGTCTGCTGAGATAAATCCCTCACTGTTTTTGGTTCCATGTTAAAAGCATTTAGACAATCTGTAGCATAATATTGGTACGGTTGCCACGTCCGTCCATAGTCGAGGGACTTCTCCAGGATCATTAGGTCTGGGCGGCCGGATTCAAAGGTGATGACTATGTTGTCTGTGAGTTCGACCGTTTTGTTCCAAAACAGGGTAATGTTCACTTGGAGAGGCTTTGGGTAACCTTTCCATGTGGTCGACTGCCAAAAGGTGTAGGGATGCCTTCCTTCGGCATCAAACATCAGTTCAGGTGGATGTGCCAGTTCATCAATGGTTGCATCACACTCATTGCACATGTAGGGATTCCCCTGGAAAGAAGGGGGGAAAAACAGCTGTAAGAAGTGTGGTCGCCAGGGTAAAAGAGAGAGTTTGACTGGTTCCCATTATCAATAGCCATAGACTTATATACCGCTTCACAGTGCTTTTACAGCCCTCTCTAAGCAGTTTACAGAGTCAGCCCTCAACCATCTGGGTCCTCATTTTACTGATCTCGAAAGGATGGAAGGCTGAGTCAACCTTGAGCTGGTCAGGATCGAACTGCTGGCAGTTGGCAGAGTTAGCCTGCAATACTGCATTCTAAACACTGAGCCACCAGGATGGAAAATGAGAAAGGGAATTAAGAGAGGAAGGAAGGAAGGAAGGAAGGAAGCAAGCAAGCAAGCAAGCAAGCAAGCAAGCCATGGTAACATTTTTCAAGAACTAGGAAGGCAAAGAATTGGGCATAATCTTCAGCTTGTAAACAAGGGGAAAAAAAGAATTATAGATATATGGAAAAAGATACACTTGGAAAATTATGGTTAATGTTTGCTGAAATCTCAAAAGTTTCAAAGATAATAACAGCATTCAGTGAATGAAAACTGGACCTCAGTGTTCTGGATAGCTTTTGGTCCAACCCATGAATATAAAATCCAAATTATGCATAATATTTTTTTTAAAAGATGGTGAAACATAGGGGAGGAACATGAGCTTAGCATTAAAGCACATATTTCGTACGCAGAAGATAATAGGTTCAATCTTTGGTTTCTCCAAGTACAGTTGAGAAAAATATGTTTTGAAACTACGGAAAGTTGCTATCGATATTGACTTAGAAGAGGGCAACTTCTGCTTTTCTTATGACAAATAGCAAAATTGGTTATTCTCAGCATAGAAATCGAATTACTTGGGTTCAGATTCTATTTTACTTTCTTCTCAGATTTCTGACAATAAGAAACCAAAGTCCAGCTGTGCTTAAGTACTGATAAATTCTACTGATTCCAGGAGCAAAAACGGAATTTATTTTGGCAGGATTATAATAGTGTTTCTACCAAATCTAGTTATGTCCAGGATCCAATTTTCCCCCATCATCCCTCAGCATTATATCGATGACTATATATTATACTACCCCAGTCTAGTTATTTTACAGCGGCGTTTTTTTACCTTATCAGCCTGGACTTTTCCAATAAAACAAAAGGCCTGATTTATTTATTGGAACAAGAATTGTCTTAGCCTTGCCACTTGCTTCGACAAAAACCTTTCTACACACTTGTGCGCTTAGGAAATGCTGATGTTCCGCTCAGTAGGATTTCAAGAGGAAAAAATTAATATACGCTGAGCAAGCTGCCTATAATCAACTCACAAAGGATGAAGAACAATGCAATAACTCTGGATTTGGCTTTAGATGTGTGTCTGAGAGACCGCCTCCTGCCAATTACCTCCCAAAGACTGATTCGATCGCACAGACTAGGCCTTCTCCGGATTCCATCTGCCAGCCAATGTCGGCTGGCGGCCCCCCCCCCGGGGGAGAGCCTTCTCTGTTGCAGCTCCGGCCCTCTGGAATGGGGCTCCCCGTGGAGATCCGGACCCTTTCTACCCTTCTAGCCTTCCGTAAAGCCACTAAGTCTTGGCTGCTCCGGCAGG